ACATCTCATATCTTCTAATAGACTATAAGTACCTCAGGTAAAGCTTTTTGAAACTAGAGGTACAGTTTTATGAATGGAGAAGTTAGGGTAGGTATTTTGGTATTAAAAATTATATTGATTAGCTTTTGGTTGGATATGATGGGTAAGGGAGCAGAAACAGTTAAACATTACCTGGGATGTTTCAAGTCCCTGAGCCTGAGTAAGGATAGGTAACTGGTAACCTCAAAAGAAGAAGTGGAGCTAGGGTGAGGGGGAAGCCTAGTGGACATTTAGATCTTATGATCTATTCAATGACCATGAGAATATACAAAATGTATTTGCTACTAAAATAAAAGAGAATTCTTATTTTAAAAAATCTCACTTACATCTCATGACGAAAAAATGCTGTCTACATCCAGAGAAAGAACTATGGAGTTTGAATGCAGATTGAAGTATACTATTTGCTCTTTTTTTTCTTTTGTTTTGTTTTGTTTCTTCTTTCTTGTGGTTCCTCCTATGGGTTCGAATTCTTCTTTACTACATGACTAACATAAAAATATGTTTAATAAGAATGTATATGTAGAGCCTATATCAGATTGTATGTCATCTTTGGGAGGAAGGTGGGGAGGGAAATGGAGAAAATTTAAAACTTAGAAGTTTATGGAAGTGATTGTTGAAAACTAAACATAAATAAATTAAAATTTAAAAAATAAAAAGAGAAAAAAATCTCATTTATAGAACATTTTACACGTTCCTGCAAATTGTAGCCAGGTGATTTTCTCATAACATTCCTGTGAAGCATATGATGAATGCAAAACCTATCACCTATGCATTCCTAGGATCATTGAAGGGGGTAGTGTGATCAAGTTAAGGATCCCTAGGCTCTATTACCTTGCACCCATTACTGATCTCTGGATCTCAGTTTACTTACCTGGAAAATTACATTACTCATAAGAATAACATTTTGAAATTAGAAGACCCCTTAACAGTCATCAAGTCCAATCCTTTCATTTTACACAGAAGAAAAATGAGTCCTAGCAAAATTGAATGACCTAGTTAAGGTCACACAGCTAGAAAGTAACCACTGAGATTTGAACTTAGCACTAAACTTAATGTTCTTTTCACTTCACTTCACTACTCTGCTTTAATAGGTCACTGGATGCTAAAGAATTCATGCATTAATCCTACCAGCAAATAAATAACTAAATAGTTGATTCTTATTTGTGGATTCCATATTTGCAAATTCACCTACTTACTAAAATATATTTGCAATCCAAAATCAATACCCACAGTGCTTTTGTTGTAATTAGTAAACATACCCAGAGCCATTAAAATTTTGAGTTGCCCGTGATGCTTGTTGCCAGCTCTTGGTCCAGTGAGGCCATTCCCTGTTTTCATGTCTTAACTCTCATGACATAAACAAGTGTTCTTTTCATGTTCTATTTATTGACACTTTTTTTGAATTTTTGTGCTTTTTTGGGTGATTTTGATGTTTGGAATGGGCCCCAAGCGTAGTGCTGAAGTGCTATCTAGTGTTCCTAAGCACAGAAATGCTGTAATGTGCCTTAAGGAGAAAATATATGTATTAGATGAGCTTCATTCAGGCATGAGTTTTATATACATAGTGCTGTTGGCCATGAACTCAATGTTAATGAATCAATAATATGGTACATCCAGAAAAAGGAAGAGGAAATTCACTGATGTGAGGTTGCTTTGGAAAATGTTAAAGTAAACATTGTGACCAGAGTCTCAGGAGCCTAACTCTGTATTTCCCCTACGAGGAATAATTCACTAAATCAGCATTCCTAGTCACTTTATAGAACATAACTACTACATGAATGATAAGCATATGCATATGTATCTATACACTTCTGTATATATGTGTGCATATATGCATGAGCATATTCATATATGCGGAACTGTATGTGTGTAGGTATGTGTATGCACGTGTGTGTGTATTTACACACACACACGCATACACACATGGCCTTCTGAGTCAATGCAAAAGGAATAATCTTTAATGATTTCTAAAGACTTTCCATTTCTAACAATCTTTGATCATGAAGTGCCGAATGGAACCTGAAGTGTTTTGCCTAAATATGGGTTCAACACCACTAGAAAGTAACCTTTTGATGCAGATGTACTCATGTTCAGAAGAAATTTAAAAAAGGAAAAGTATTGCCTCTACCTTCCAATGCCTAAGAGATAATAATTTCTGTGTTTACTTTCTCTCTCTCTCTCTCTCTCTCTCTCTCTCTCTCTCTCTCTCTCTCTCTCTCTCTCTCTCTCATTAGACCTCCATTTGCTTTGACTTCCAACTTCCTCAAAAGGATGGGTCATTATTCTTCTAATAAGAGCACTTTCTCTTAATCATCAGTTCCCAGAGCCAATGATGACAGATATAGATGATGGATAAAGAGTGACAAAGCAGGACAGAGTATACTGGGATCTAGAGAAATCCATCGGCATAGCAGCAATATCTGAGAATTCTCAGTGGTTTCAAAGCCATCTGGCCTTTGACCTCTATGGATCAGAAAACCAGGCCCAACAGTTAACATTTGCCTTTAATGAAATACAAACATCTTCTAAACAATGCTTAACTTTCCCAGTTATAAAAATCCAAAGTGTGAAATCAAGAAAGTAAGTTTTATGATAACACCATAGTTGTTTAGATTCTAAATGTTGGCAGTCATTTCTACTGTATTTCAGTAGTTTAAGAAGTCATTGACCTAATAAGGAAATTTAACATAAAAACATACCCTTTTAAACTCAGCAGTATCCCAATAAACCTAATTCACTAAAAATTAGCTGCCGTAATTTATAAGAGTACTTATCAAGATTAATCTCTTCTAAATGTAATTATCCTCATTTATTGAAAATTATAGAAAAAATGTGAAGGAAATATTTTTCCCCCAGAGGGAAAAATATGAAAGTGAATGAAATGTTTAGCACTATCACAAATACTAAAATCTGCATTGCCTCATTTTATCGTTTTAATTTTTTGGGAGATCCCCTCACACATCTCTTTTTTTTTCCCCTTTATGTGCTGACTTTATCATTTGTAGTTGTGTTATCTACTTTTTCAATGTACTCTTTTGGATTTGAATGGTTAGATGTTGAATTCCTGAAATGAAATACTTAGTGTTTAAGCTTTTCATTTGACCTCTTACATTTCCTCAGCAGACACACACAAAATGAGCATGCTTTCCTTATCACAGGTAGTTCATAATAATGAATGGATACTACTAATGTTACCTTGGTATAGATTAAGTGTTCTTAACCTTTTCTGTGTCATGGATTCCTTTGCCAATCTGTTGAAGCCTATGGATCATTCCTCAGAATAAGATTCGTTGCCTACGTTTATAATTAAAGGAAATGTTAAATTTCAGTTCAAGGTTAGTGAAATTAATTTTTTTTTTCTTATTCAAGTACATGGATCTGCTGAAATCTCTCCATGGACTGTGGTTAAGAGCCCTTACTATAGATTAATATAATACACAAGTCAAATTGACAGTTGGAATTTTTATGTTATGTTCTTAATGACTACTCACTGGGGATGCTATAGGGGGTCAGGGATTCTTTTCCAAGTATGAGACGTACCAAATAGGGTCTCTTCCAATCATACTCTTCTGTGATTCTATGATACCAAGATAATTATTTCTACTTTCCCTTCTTTAACACTTTCCTTAAAATGCTACTACTTGTTCCTATGGCTATGATTCTCCGAACAAAATTTTGCCCCTGTAAGTTAGTCACAATTGAACTTTCAGATTAAAACAGTTGCTCTTAATATGAAATTGCACTATTAAGGAAAACAGTGTATTTCTTTAAGTCTTTTCCCTTCTTGGCCTAGCACCAATAAAATTAATATGTGTTTTAAAATTAAAAATTTTCTCATTCTTATTTTTTGAAGGGGGAAACTATCTCAAAAAAGTTATGTAACTTTCTGAAGTGAAAACATCAAGTTTATATATGGAGCATAGATCAAAGCAAAACTAGAATGCCCTTTGTCAGTAAAGCTTCAAGAAAATGATGTAAGACTCATTGAGTCACCAATTATTTTCCGGAGCACATGGGCTGAGAATACTTTTGGCCAGTTAATCATTTCTTATGGCTTGAGGACATTAACAAGTGTAATTCATTTTATACAAATTATCATTCTTTCCATCTTTCCATTCATTCATTCATTGAACAAAGTCAATTTAATCCAATTAAAGGAGAATTCTTTTGAATGTAGGCTCTTTGAAGGCAGGCAAGGCAGGGAGTGTGTGTATGTGTGTGTGTGTGTGTGTGTGTGTGTGTGTGTGTGTGTGTGTGTATGTATGAGTGTGTGTTTTCCCTACATCTGTATCACCTAGCACAATGCCATGTACAGAATATAAATTGAATTATTGTGTGTACTGTATTATTATGTGAAAAGCTACTCAATATTTAAAATGCCATAAAGAACTCAGGATTTAAAGGAACCATTCAAAAAGTCTTTTGTAAATTAAATAATCTTTTGATCATGCAACTATTCATTCCCTTGACACAGTCCTTATCTTTGTTTTTGTTTTTTAAAGTAAGGATTGCCATATTAAATTTTTGGAAAACAGGAAGCACAACATATTTTTTTGCTATTTCACTTCAAAACTGAACTACTGATTAATAGATGCTGATAAAATAGCTAAATATAGTAGACTTTTTTCAAATTTTCTACATACCTTTTCTAACTTTTCAAACTTCTACATACATTTTCTAATTTTCTACATACCTAAAAAATGAAAGGGAAAAAATAAGCAACTATCTTCGTGTGATTGCCAATTCAGCCATTATTTACTTCACTAAGAAGGGAGAAGGGAGACATATTTTTACTTACACACAGCTCCTGGAGTCAGTGTTTCTCCAATATGCTGTAGCACTGAAGTCACCCCAGAAAACAGGAATTATAATGATGATGAAGATTTAAATATATTTAAGAATCATATTCACATCAAGCTTTTTAAAGGAGACTGATTCTAATATTACTTTGAACATTCCAGCATGAGGAGGTTTCAATGAAGGCACCAAGACTATGAGAAAGCTGAAACCATTCTGCTACAGTATCATCTGAATCTGCTGCATTTTATCTTAAGGTAACTTTTTCAAATTAGTTTATGACTCATTTTATATAGTACTCCTATTGTATAAACTTTAATTACATATTACTTTATGCATGTGCCTTAAAGTGACTTTCCCATGGAAGCACAATTTTATTAAATCTAATAAATAAATTCATAAACCCAAATCAGATTAAGTAATAATGGACTTTGCTTATTTAGAAAATTTAATAATATCATCTTCTAGCTACTGTAACATCTTCACAAAGGTAGACTTGGAAATCTTAAAGAGCATTAAGAATTGAAATTTGGTTAGACAAGTAGACAAGTGAACTATTCAGTCTAGTGTATGGGCTGCTGGAATAGGAAAATGCAGTCAGTAGTTGCCATCATGAATACATTTTCAAAAATGAGACATGCATCTTTTCCATGAACCATTTACATGTTTACTGCCTAGTAAATGTCCTATGTGTCCTAAATTGCACCATTTAGCTTTGGAGTCAGTAATGTTTCCTACCTTGTAGCCTGAGGACATGGTTTGGAAAGGGTGGAAATGTGAGGAAGGGGCAGATTATTTGCAAAGGATCTATGGGTCCATGTGCAAATCTACCAACAAACAAACATTTTCTGTAGACTTAATAAATGATAGCTATAAAAATGATAGATATATTATGTATATTTCAAATACATATGGTTGTTCCTGCAATTAAGAAAATACAGATTTATATAAAAGCATGGTTGAATTTATAGTCACCTCTGTCATTATGTATTTTCTGCATAAGTGGTTTGATGCCTACATGGTCAACACATACCCCTCTGCATTTCTTAATATTTTAGACTTTTGCAAAAGTCTAAATGTTAAATGGTTAGTATATCCTATATAAAGGTCCTCATACTAGATTGGTAACCTCTGGTCTTTATAATTAATTTGACAATTACTTTTGTGACATCTATTATATTATTTTGTAATTTATCTCTTGTATTTGTATTAACAAAATCCTACTCTGACACCCAGTCATGGGATGGAGTTGAAGGCTATTCTAACAAAATAAGAGACAGGGCTGCTTCTACAATGCTAGATGTGCTACAAATAAAGACTTGGCACAGACTCTTTCTGAGGACCAAATAATTAGTTGAGGGAGGCTCATCTCCAGTAGACTGGTCAGTTGGTGATGATTTTTTTGGTCATGGCATCCCAAGGGACTGTTAAAAATTTTAAGTGGCCATAAACCCCATGTAGCCTTCTTATTCTTCAACTTGGCTGTTGGTATGTTGAGTTCGAGATAACTGTCCAATTGGTGGGAATCTTGCTGGAGAGATGAATTAGATCAAACTTTAAATTATTTCTATAAAAAAAGTTGGTAAATGGAAGAATGACTTACAGACTTTCCTTGGAGAGGCAAATAAAGGAGTCTTGGAGTTAGTTCTATCATGAATTTCAGAGTTATAAGAAATATCACTTAATGGGATATCTAGTTATCTACCAAAGTGTTCATAATAATTATTTGCAAAACAAACAAACAAAAAAACCCACTAGTATTTGCAGCTAATATACCAATTTTAGTTTCAGAAGATGATTGAGAAATTCCATGAAGAATTCAACCAGATTCTCCAAATTAAAACACAATATCATTTCATACTCAATAGCTTTAATTCCTAGATAGAAATAAGTGAGGATGGCAAAAAATGTAATGGAAAATAAAGTATAGGACTAAGGAATGTCAAGATGCCAAAGATATGCATAAAGCACAGGCATCTTTGACCTATGTTTTATTAATGCTTTCTTTGAAAAAAATAATTGATAGGTGCCGGACATGATGAGTCCCAAACAATATCACACAAAATGAGTTGATTATTTTTTAACAGTCAGTAAATAGCCCATTTCTAAATCAGCTATCTTACTGTGTGGTTAGTCCAGTTCTTTTTATGAAAAAAAATCAATATTAATAAAAAAGCTGGATGAATAAAACTGAGAAAAATATGTAGAGGACAATTGAAACCATTTAATATTGACCTACCTAAGTTATTGAGATGATGCGATTGGATGGACAATAAGGTATATAGTCATAGAGTACAAAATCTTTCATTGATAAGTCTAACAAATGTAAATCAATATAACAATATAACAAATAACTCTATCAAATGACTCTAAAATGTCTTTTAGAAAAACTTTAACTTGGAAAATAAAGAGATAGAGACAGTTAAAGAAATCTTGGTGAGAGATTCAATTAAACCAAGTAATCTGAAGCTCATTTAAGGAAGAAAGTAGAAGGATGCCAAAAAAAAAGATGATATATGGAAACAATACAAAAATATTTGAATGATGTTTTCTTTTCCTACCAAAAAGGACAATAGTGCCACCATATTTTGACTCATTACAGGTCTAAACATACCTATGGAAGAGGTAGAAAAAGCACTAGAGAACAGAGAGGAAAACTAGATGGATTAGATCAAGTATAAATGGAAGATATCAATGTTGGATACAACAAAGCTATTAAGACATTGAAGGATATATACAAAAGGTATCTGAAGGAGGTGAGAATATACCAAATGTGGGAAAACATGCATATCAAAAAAAAAGACTGAAAGAATATTGGCTATGAAATTAGAAGCATACTTTTTTCAATGTATATAACATTTTATGAGACTCCTGAATGAGGTTGTTGACAGGTAAGAGGTATTTGTGTTATCCCATACTAGACCATGTCTTTACCATCACACAATTGATTTAAGGAAATAGAGAAGACAAGATCTAACTGCATTGATTGTTGGTTATGTTAAAAACATGGATTTGTTGGCACAAAATAGTCTCTCTTCTAACAATATATCTCCCCTTTTTGTAATCTATAAAAGATATTCTTTGATTGTATCCTATATCCTTTTGCCTCAGTTTATTCATTCAGAATTCTCCCCTATTCTGAGAGCAGACAATTAGGATGTTAGCTCTTCTTCTATATACAGTGGGTTTTTAACCAATCCTGGGTGTCTTGCATGGAGAAGCAGATATGGCCCCTAATTGGTAAAGTGAATGCTGTGTGTGATGGGACACTGTGTACATTAAGGGATTTATTGAGTTGCTGCCACAGCTTCTTTTGACAAAGATACTTGGAGTTCCATACCCACTCTTCAGGACAGACATGTAGAGAGAGATAATATCAGACATGTATAGCTCTTCAACATGTCCCAGATTTTGAGTTTGGCCCTCAAAGAGATCAATAAAATGGACCTCCTTGGGTAAGAGTGGACCTTCTTCCCTGAGTTGATCTGATAAGAAATATTTGAAAGGAGCAAGCAGAAGAATTCTAGTTCAACATTCTTCTTGGAAACTGAAGAAAAGAATACCCAGACTCATGGCACTAGGACCTTCCTGTCCTCTCTCCTTGCCTACCCCAATTATTATGTTGGCAGAGTAGGCACTATCTTTGACTTTCTTCCTCTCCGTTGATGTAGGCCAGGCTTTAGATCTAATCTGTACCTGATACCCACAAGATACATCTGTGCATTTAGACAACCCATGTGGACATAAATTTATTACATATATAACAACTGTCATTTCTTCTGTAAGGTAAAAATCTTAAAGGCAGAGGAAATTTCTTATTCATGTCTGTGTTCCCAGGGCCTAACACAAACATATGGTTGGCATATTTTTTGAATTAACTAGAATTAAACTTAAAATATTATACTTGTATATTTTGTAGGTCTGTCTATTCTTACTGAAGTTAAACTCTCTTATTGATTTTGTTTTATCTGCATCTATCTATCTATCTATGTACCTACCCATATACACAGAGAGTAATAGAGAGGTTGCATTACTTCAAATGTTACTGATACTGGAAGTTCTAGAAGTCATTACAATAAGTTGATTTTGAAATCAACAGTATATATTCATCCTTAATAATTAAAGGTTTTAATAACCTGACTGAGAATACATTTTATTGAGAAAGGAACAAATTACTGAACTAAGAACAATATTGGCATTAAGTGTTAAAAAAAAGAAACCTACCACCTCAGTTGCTAATTTTTCTGTGAAATATAAGATTTATTGTGTTCAGTTCAATTAAGGTAAAGATATTCAAGTGTCAAAACAATTTGCCCACTGTAAATAGGCACTCTTCAAAAATGCACACCATTTCTCCCAACAATTGGGGGGAGGGGACCTGCTACATGGGATCATGATTCTAAAAGGAGCAATAAAAATAAACACAGCTGTTGCTGCCAACTTGCTTTGGCTCTCCACTAGCATTCAATAGACTGATAATGGCTTGTTTTTACAAGACAGACTGTGAGAAATGTCTTGATCATGGCAATGGCATGATAGCTGCAGCAAACTTATACTGAATTTCTGAAAATATTTCTAAAAGACCAGGTTCCATGGATGGAGAGGCTTTGTATGTAGGAAAGAAAATGGAAGTTGAGTGCAACTGGTTGCCTCTCATTTTTGCCAAATTTACTATACTGTATGCTCCATTGCAAATGACTTAGTTTTATCTGCAGTATAAAAATATAATGTAGTACACCGTGGTGCATAAGATTAAAAACAACAATAACAACTGTGAATCAGCCCTGACAGGGATAATATAGATTTACATTGGCAAAGTAAGCATGGTGAGTCTTTCTGACATCAGAAACATTGAGAGATTTATTTTCAAAAGAGTGTAGGCCATCCATTGCTTTGTAAAGCACACATCCAGTGGTAATCAGGAGAAGTGAATGACATCCAAACTTTTTTGCTTTTTTCCATTTTCTTCCTCACACTGAACAGGAAATGAAGTTTTAATATCAACTGCACTGCCTTTTGCTAATCCTGTTTCGTTCATTACCTGCGGTAATGAGCTAATTAAGGGAAAAAATAAATTAGACAACCTTGTCTGTCTGACAGAGATTGTAAACCCACAGGGCTGGAACCGTATGATCTTTATGTCAGGTATAGCAATAAATACACAGGAGAGTGCATGTCAATAAACAATAGTAACAAAGCTAGCATGCCCTTTCTAGAGACGTCCTTTACCCCATTTCTTTGCACTCTGTAACTGATA